ATCGACGATAAAGGCTGCAAGGCTGCCTTGCTTTCCTAGGGCAGTGATTCTTAGATTGTGGAACTCTTAGGCTTCCTAGATGGGGTCGGAGCAGATGGGTTCGGTGGCAAATTGTAGGAGCCTGGGATACCCTGGTAATTTCGTCTTTAGCCTCGACTCGCGTCGATGAGGTAGTGCCGATTTAGCGTCGGTGATCATCGATTAGCGTCGATTTAGCGTCAACTAGCGTCGATTTAGCGTCGACTAGCGTCGATTCGCAAGAGCCCACACGATGGCATGGGAAGCTCCCATGAGTTGCCACCGAAGATGGGGTCGGAGGATCTCGACGCATCGCCGATGCGTCGCCGATGCATCGGCGATGCATCGCCGATGCGTCGGCGACGTCTGCGATGCATCGGCGACGGGCCAAAGTCGGAGTCCACAAGGGCGCCCTCGAAGGCGCGAAGTTCTTCGCGCTTCGCGCTATGCGGTTCGGCTTCGATTCCCCCTCCTCCTCCTCTCCCTCCTCTTCCTCCTCTTCTCCCCCTCTTCCTCCTCCTCTCCCCCCTCCTCCGCCTCCTCCGCCTCCTCCTCCTCCTCATTTTCCTCCTCCTCCTCCCTCCCCCTCCTCCTCCCTCTCCTCCCCCCCCCCGCTCCTCTCCCTCCTCCGCCTCCTCCGCCTCCTCCTCCTTTTCCGCCTCCTCCTCCTCGTTTTCCTCCTCCTCCTCTTTCTCCTCTTCCTCCTCCTCCTTTTCCTCCTTTTCCTCCTCCTTCTTCTCCTTTTCTTTCTCCTTCTCCTCCTCCTCCTCCTCCTCATTTTCCTCCTCCTCCTTTTTCTCCTCCTCCTCCTCCTCCTCCTGCTCCTCCTCCTCCTCCTCCTCCTCCTCATTGGCGATCCGACGCTCCAACAAACATTGGAGCGGCTAGTTTTTAGTCGTTTTCGGCCTCCGGGGGGCCTCGCCTGTTCTCGGGGCCGTCCAACATCGACTCAGAGCGAAAACCCGCCCCAGGGAAGTGGTCCAGACTCTGGGGCCCACGTATCGAAAAAGTTGGAGCGGCTGGATGTCGGGGCCTCCGACTCGATTCGATTCAATTTTCATGGTTTCCGACGTCGATCCCCTTCGACTTCGGGTTCTGCTTTAGCTTCCGACGTCGCAGCGGAGGCCTCACCCGCCTGCCGATGTCCGCCGATTCGACTCCTCCCGACTTGTTTGCCGATCTCAGCCGATCCGATTCATTCCGACGGCCGAGTCGACTTATCTCTTGTAGATGAGGTGGGGTCATAAAGTCGACCCGCAGAGTAAGGATCGGCATTCCTCCCAAGGGTACCCTTGCATCCTTGCTTTCTGGGTCCATCCTTGGACACTTTCGTTGGCCGCGCCCCGCTTAAAACGCTTCGAGATGGGCGTCCAAGGACCGTGCATCCTTATCGAGCATCCTTACTCTCCGGGTTGACTGTACACCTTGTGTCCCTCTGGGGCCCAAGAGGGGCATGGTTCGCCCCGTCCCCACTCATCGCCCCCTCCATCGTGCAACGCCCAATGTCTGAGTCCTCAAGGGAGACGGGTGTGGGTATCGGAGGGGGCGAGGGTCGACCGTGCGGTGTTTTTGAAGTAATCTGCCGCGGCGTTCTGTTGCTCCCGCAGGGGTTGGGGCCGGCTGGGAGGCTGAGGTGGCCCAGCACTGGCTCGGGCCAGCAGGAAAAGGGGTAGAAAGGGTCCTCATCGTGGCAACGGCTGGACGCGGCTCGAACAACGTGTCAGTTTGGATCCTGGGATGCCCCTGGGGAGAGGCTTTGAGCGAGTTTACCCTCATCCCTCTTCTCGACAGTTTCTTCTGGGCTTATCCAGCTCAGACCCCCCCAGCCGCCTCGAACGTGGGGGTGCAGCTGTCGAGGAACGCCCCCGCATGCCGCCCCCAGCGTGGGATCCTTTACCGGCGGACGGGCTCCTCAAGGGAGGGAGGGTGGATTAGGCTCAGGTGGGGGTGCATCGGCCCCCAACCGCCGGTTCATCGCCGACAGGGGCCCGACAGCCCACCCCGCTCTGAAACGTGCGGCTTCGCCATCGGGGGCCTCTCGCCGATCCATCGGCGATGTGTCGCCGATTCCAGCTCGCTGCTTCCCGCTCTGAGCCAGTCCCCCGTACCGTTCCCCTCACTCGAGGGAGGGGGGGCATTGAGATGGACTGGGGCGGACGATTCTGGTTGTTTTCGAAGTGCCGTGCCTTCTCCTCGGACTTCTGGTTTGTCCCAGTGGCCACGCCTGGATCCGCCTCGAGGGTCTGACCAGCGAGCACCCCGGGACAGTAGACTCTGTGAAGAGGAGGAATGAAGAGGAGGGGGTAACAAGGGCGATGGCACGGGTGGAGGGGTACGGGGAAGAGGACGGGAGGAGAAGGAGTATGAAGATGGGGGCGAGGAGGATGAAGGAGGGAGGGAGGACGACGGCGAAGATGAGTATCGCCGATGGGGGGACATGTTTATGGGGACGAGGATGAAGGCAAGAAAGAGTCGAGGAGGAACCGAGGAGGAGGGGGGAGGAGGTGACGGGAAGTGATGAGGTTATGATGGGAGTGGGATTGGAAGAAGGGTGAAGCAGAAGTGGGAATGATGAGGCAATCGCGCGCGAAGTGTGCGCTTGATTGCCTTAGACAAGAGCCACAGCGCGCGCGAAGCGCGTGTGTGGTTCCACTTCTCTGTTGCATCAACTACATGTGATAGTGCTCTTGCTACCGATATTGGCGCCGCTACCACACAGACAAGTATCAGCGGTACTGCTCGTCCCACTGCTCGTGCAGATATTGTTGCACCCAATGATGTTGCTACTTCTTCAACTGCTACTGTTCTTGATGCGGGCTCTGCGACTGATAGTGTTGCTACTGGTACTGCTGGTGTTGCGAAGGCCTTTCTGCCGGCGCCGCCGACCCCTCAGGCGGACGACGACGACGACGACGACGACGACGACGACGACGGCGACGACGGCGACGGCGGCGGCGACGGCGACGGCGACGACGATCGATGACGCTCTGGATCCGAAGTTTCTCCCAGGAAGGGGTGCCCCCCCCCCCCCGGGGGAAGGGGTCACAACTCCCAGGTATCCTCCCCCACCTCTCACCCCCCCCGGGGACTACCCTCGGGGACCCCCCCTCCGGGCTCCCTCCCCCTGGGACCCGGCCTCCACCCCCACCCCCTCGGCGGGGATGGATGAAATTCAAGGGGGTTCCCCTCGACTCGATTGCGACGTGGCTCGATTTCTTTTTGGCTGGAACGCTGGAGGAGGAGCGGCGACGACGATGACAACTCAAATGGAACGGAAAAGCCACTCACACACGCCGACAGGGTCGGCGGAGTTTTCTATGATTGTTGGTGTCGCGACCGCTACGGTCGTTGCCATTCTGCAGCTGTTGTTGTGGCTATTGCTCTTTATGCTGTTCTGCTGTTGCTGCTGTTACCTTCTATTCGTACTCTCGGCTACTACCACCTCGGTGTTCAGTCCCTGCCCCCGACACTGTTGCTGGTCGGGATAATTGCATCGATCATGGTTACAGCTCCTTCTTTACCTCTCTAGTCGTCAGTTCTTTTTACAGCGAATGTGCTGCATGTCCATGTCGCATACGAACCCTTGTATGCTTGCACCTTAGTGGCTCCACCAAGCGAACGACTGCGCCGCAACTTCGAATCGCACTCTGCTCTGTGGGCATCAGCGCACCAGCATCGCTGCCAGTTGTTAACGCACACGTAACCTTGCCAGCAGCAGCAGCGCCATGCTGTCTGTGACTATGTCGTGATGAGCGGTGCATGCCTGAACGCACCTGGGCGACAGTTTTGAGACGGGGAAGCGCCATCGCCCAGACGTGTTGTGACCCCCCACAGAAAGCTTGTATGGACGATTGGCGCCATTGTGCCGCTGGACACGGGACGAACACACTGGTGGTGACGATTGTGCCGACGATGAAGCCTGGCAATGTCGCGCTGGCGACAAGTCACGGCAATCACACTGGCAATGCCAACAATTGCGGCGGCGACCTCTCCCAAGCGAGACGTTCGGCGGCCCCCGTCTCTCGAGACGACGTCCAGAGTGACCTTCTCACGGCCCCGGTGCCAGGAAACCAGGCTCCAGAGGCCCAGACGGGTTCTGGAGAGAGGTGGCCGGGGGGGGGGGTAACTCGCCGGTGGGCGAGGAAGGATGCGCCCCTCCGGCACAGCAGCACCTCTTGGGGCCGCGGTGGCAGCTCCAGAGGCCCTGCAGGGCCCCTGGGGGGCCATTCCCTTGCAGCCCTCGATCCTCTTCAGGCTCCGAATATTAGTTTCCTGTGTGTGCGCGCGCTTGTCTGCACGCGTCCTCGTGTCGTGCGCGCGAGCGCGAGCACGTGTCTCTCTTTGTGTACCGAACGGTTGCTGTGGCACGCGTCCTCTGCTTCGAGGCCCAGTCGAGACTCTCTTCTGCCCCCTCGGCATTGCTCCCTGGCCCCCGCTGCCCTGTGCCCGACACATGGCGGACGGCTGGCCGCCTCTCGGGCCGGGCGAAAGGGGGGGATTGGGAAAGGGGGGGTTACGAAATTTGCTGCATGCAGCTGGTTTCGGCTTTACCGAGGGGCCCATTCCTCGATACATGGGCGTCTCCGGCGCCGGGAGGCGCCGGGAAAATCAGCCACGTGAGCTGATTCTCAAACCCCCCCCTTGCTATCCCCCCCTTTCGCCCGACCCGAGCCTCGCTCTTGCCCGTCCTCTGCCGGACCTCCTCCTGGCGGGCCGTGCTCCGGGGTGGAGAGGGCGCCGAGGAAGAGGGAGGGAGAGGGCGCCGTGGGCGGGAGCGGCGAGGAGGGCGCCGTGCGTGTCAATGGGGAGGGACGGAGGAGGAGGAGGAGGAGGAGGAGGAGGAGGAGGAGGAGGAGGAGGAGGAGGAGGAGGAGGAGGAGGAGGAGGAAGAAGAGCAGGAGGAGGAGGAGGAGGAGGAGGAGGAGGACGAGGAGGAGGACGAGGCGGCGAAGGATGTCAGGGAACCAGCGCCGAGACGGCAGGCCGTGCTGCAGATGGAGCCGCGGAAGCGTTTGCCGGCCCGGGATGCGCTCCGTGCCCCGTGGTTCGAGGCGTCGCGAGCCCGGCTCCCGCCGCCCGCGCAGGCAGTCAGGGGAGGAGTCGAAGGCAACGGTGCTGCTGTCCTTTCCCCGCTGTGGCGTGTTTGGGCCTGCTGACGCTGCTATGATGACGCACGAGCAACACGCACTCGTACCCATAGGTGGGACGGAGGGGGCTATGGGTGCGTGTTGTCGGATGGGGGTCCCCGCTTGAAAGGAAGCGCCCCCCAGGATCCGACAAGCCGCACCCATACCCATATTCAGTCCTCCTCCCAACGTTCCCCCGAAGGGTATGGGTGTGTGCTGTTCGTTCACCATATGATGCCCTCGTCGCCACCGCCGCACTCGCCTCGCAGTCCTGGTCAGGCTGTGCCCCGGGAGGTCCGGGGAGCAGCGGTGTCTTGGCATCTTTTTTGCTTTTCCCTAGATTCAGGAGGGGGAAAAACACACAGACGCAATTGATCGGCGATTCCCAGAAAATATGGGAAAATATGGGAAGTGGGGGGGAAGACAGAAACCCAGAAAATATGGGAAAATATGGGGGATATTTTTATTTGTGTGTATTTATTTGTGTGTCCCAGTTTCCCTTCATATATGCGGCGACGGGGCCCTGCCAGGCGCCGGCCCGGTCGGGACGCTGGCGCGGGGCCCGCTGCTCATTCGTGGGGGGGGGATCCAGCACGGGCGCAGAGGGCTCTGTGGGGCCTCCTCCCTCCTCCTTTCTCCTCCCTCCTCCCTCCTCCCTCCTCCCTCCTCCCCTCTCCCTCCTCCCTCCTCCCTCCTCCCTCCTCCCTCCTCCCTCCTCCCTCCTGGGGGCTCCACTCACACTCAGAGTCGCCCAGAGTTTTGCTTACAGAACTGTCCTGGGGTGCAGTCCACCCGCTGTGCAGGGATGGGCAACCTTCCCAAAGGGTGCCCTTGCATCCTTGCCTCCGCGGTCCACCCTTGGCCGCTTTCGCTGGCCGCGCCCCGCTCGCGGAATGTCAGCATGGCCTCCCACGGCCCTTGCATCCTTATCGTGCGTCCTTATGATGCGGGTCGACTGTGGTGGGCCCGCCAGCCGCGGGTCACGGCCAAGACCAGCTGGGCCACGCTCCACGCTTCTGCGTGACCCAGAAGGGGGCCCAGCGACAAGGGGATGGTGCAATAGACTTGGTGCAATAGATTTGTGGGGTTGAAATAGATATGGGGCGTGCAATACAGTCTGGTGCGCAAATGTACTGCTGGGCTCTCGCGTGCCATGCACGCGTTGCAATGCGATGCAGTACAGTTTTCTGGCGCAACGCATTTGCAATACGACTGCCCCCAAACCTATCGCACCACCCCCTTCCAGCTGGGCCCCCTTTTGAGTCCACCGAAGCGCTGAAGGGAGCCCTGGGCTTAAGTCGGGCCTGTCCCACTACAGGGGGAAGATTCAGAAATAGTCAAAACGTATCACGGGGACGGTTCTTGAACATTTTCCAGCATTTTCAGGGTATTTTTCTGGGGGGGTATTTTAAATTTTCCGTCCAAAATCCCCCTGTAGGGGGACAGGCTCGACTTGACCCTGGGCGGCGAGCGTAGGTGCAGATGTCGCGGCCTGCCTCCTCGGCACTGCGCGCTGTGCGGTGCCGCGGCCGAGCTCCGCGCGACGACGCGCGGAGGGCGCCCCGCGCCCCGGGGAGACTCCCGGCGGCGCGGCGCCCCCTCCCCCCTGGCACGACCCTGGCGATGCGGGCTGCGACGGGTGGCGCCCGGCTCGTGCCGGCGCGGCGCGCGGCGGTACGGCCGTGACCTTCCTGCTCACTCGGGGGCCCACCAAGCGGTGTGGTGACCACAGCGTGCGGCGAGTCGGTGGGGATTCGGGGGCACCGCACGGTTCTGGGACTCGAGTCCCTCTCCGAGCATGTCTCGGGCGACAGGAGCCTCCCGGGTCCTCAGACCGTGCGGTGACGGACCGTGCGGTGAGGTCTCTTGGGGTTCCGAGGTCACCGCACGGTCTGTCACCGCACCGTTTCGGGACTCCAAGTGCTGCTGATAGGCCACGGCCGCTCAGTTTTGAGCAGTGGCCAAGCGTCCTGGCTCGCCTATAGCTTATAGGCCCACGAAAGAATGCTCCGATCATCTTTTTGTGGTCTGTTCGAAATGTTCTTAGAACATTTCTGTCTGAGGCTGTCTTGTTTTAACACATCGGGCTTTCATTCTAATAACTTTTTTTGTGTTACAAGGACAAATTTGGGCTCGAAGAGAATTTAGTGGTAGGCCTACAGGAATGCCGGGACGGTCGGTCCCTGCTCAACAGTTCAATTCAGAGGAATAAAAGATGCCCACACCTCAACCCTTCCCTCGTTTTCCTCTTTGTCGGCCTCCTGCGAAGCCCTCGTTGCCACCATTGGATTCGCCTCGAACTCCTGGTCAGAACACACCCCGGGAGGTCCAGGGGGTAAGTGTATTGGTACCTTTTGGTGTCCTCAATTCGGGGCGTAAGAGGCGGGGGTCGATGCAAACGGGGGTCCGACCGAGCGCCGGATAACTTGCAGGATCCTGCGGGGCCAGGGGCGCATTGACCCAGGCTGTTGGGTGCAGGATCCTGCAGGACCTCGCAGGGTCCTGCCAGGCCCGACTGGCTGGGGCCTGGATTGAGCCTGGTCAGATCTCCGAATGATTCAGGAGGGAAAAAACACAGACACAATTCATCGTCGATCCCCCAGAAAAGATGGGAAAAAACTGGAAGTGCTGGGGAGGATCGAAACCCAGAAGATACAGGAAAATATGGGGATTTTTTTTATTGGTGTGTACTTCTTTGTGTGTCCCAGGGCCCCTTCAATGAGGCCATCGGGAAAAAGGCCTACTGGACGCCTGCCTCTTCCTCCGGCAGCGGCGCTCCTCTCCATTGCCTCGCGCGGCACTGGCTGCGGACACGCGTGCGTGTCGCACGAAGGTCGCTCGCTCGGGCTCGGCCTCCTCGGGCCTCGTTTCTGCACTCTTCGAGCTCATGATGTGTGTGTGTGTGTGCAAAGGTTTTCGGCTTAACCCGACGGGAAAGACATGTGTAGACGCGTCCATCTATGACGTTGCATCTTCGGGGGGACCTCGCCTGCCCTCCAAATCAGTGATTTCTCTTGTGCCCGACGCGGGTTCGATGCGGCCTCGACGCGGATCTGGCGCGTATTCGACGCGGATTCGACACGGTTTCGACACGGACCCGACGAGGCCGACATGGATTCGACACGGATTCGACGCCGACAGGGCCGCGACGGGAGAAACAAGGTCCCTCGAGGATAACATAACATATTTTTATACGCACGCACACATGCATTTCGCACCTTTTGTTCTGGGTCCCCAGGCCGTGAGACATCGAGCAGGGATGACAATTTTGCCCAGGTGGATCCTGGGAAACATCTTGAGACCGATTCTGCGAGGATCCCATGGAAAATAGCCAGATCCATGCCCTCGCTGCCTGCACACCAAGGAGGAATCCCATGGATGCAGGATCCCCTGGGTACATGTCGCGCGGGTCATCCCCGCAACGCCTCCTGAAGGCGTGAGTGGTTTAGGGCGCTTCCTCTTTCAGTCCCCTTCTTCCCCTTCGGGGAGGGAACTACCGCTACCCCACCCCCCCTCCCCTGAACCTGGACGGAGTGCTCCGCGACCGATTTGAGCGTCCAAGACGGCTTCGGCGAGCTCTCCTTTTTGATCGCTCTCATCCAAGATGGCCCCAAGATGGCCCCCAAGGCCCCCAAGGAGGCCCAAGAGGGTCCCAAGAGGCGTCCAGGAGGCCCCAATAGGCCTTCAGGAGCCCCCAGGAGGCCGCCAGGAGGTCTCCAAGAGGCTCCCCCAAAACACCCGAGAGGCCTCAAGAGGCTCCCCCAGGCACCCAAGACGCTGCAAGAAGCTCCCGGGATCGCCAAGAGACCCCCAAGACGGCCAAGAGGACGCCAAGCTTCCAAGGGACATCCGAAGAGACTCCGAGAGGCATCCGAGATGCCTCTGGGCATTCTGCTTGCCCTGCTGAACCACCTCCTCTTCCTCCTCCTCATCCGCCCGTTTCTCCTCGCCCCGCTTCCGTCCTCCCTCCGCCCGTCCCCCCCCTCTCCTGATTCCCCCCACCCCTCTCGTGGGGTACGACGGTTTCTCCAACCCCTTCACATTCTGCATTCCTCCTCCGCCTCATCCTTCTCCTCCTCCTTCTCCTCCCTGATCAGTGCAACTCGCCTGGGCATCGTTTCTGGATTGACCAGGTGCCCCAAGAGGCGCCCAGGAGGCCCTAAGAGGCCCCCGGGAGGTCCCCAGAAGGCTCTCCCCCCACAAAATCTCAGAGGCCCCAAGAGGGTCTCCCGAGGCACCCCAGACGCCCTCCCTAACCCGCAGGGCCGCCAAGAGACCACCAAGGCACCCCAAGAGGACTCCGAGAAACTTCCCAAACTCATCCGAAGATTCCGAGAGGCATCCAAGAGTCCTCTGGCCGTTCTGCTCGCCCTCCTCCTCCGCCTCTCCCTCCTCGCTTTTCCCCCCCCCTTTCCCTCTTCCTCCTCCAGTTTCTCCTCCGTCCTCCCCCTCTTTGGGCTTCGAAGGCTCCCGTAGCTCGCTCTTCCACTGCATGTTCTGCCACATCTATGCTTGCTCCGCCTCGCACCCTTCCGCAGCAGTTCTCACTCAGGCGCTCAGGATCCAAGCCGCCCCTTCCGAGAGTCTTGGCGACTGCGATCCCCACTCGGCACACACGTGCATCTTGAGGGCGCCCGCGGTCGTCCGGGGCCCAGACATGGGACTCTGCTGCATTGCCCTGCGCAGGGCAGGGCCTCCGTCGTGCGCGCTCCGGGCCCAGCGTCCAGGCTTCCCGCGGCTGCTCCGGGCTCGGCGCGGGGCTCCCCGACGAGGACACCCGGGCGCGCGCGCGCGCCCCGGCGGGGCCTTAAGGCATGCACTCACCGATGCGCTCCTCGGTGGCGGACACGGTGGTCGACGATCGGGGGCAACGGAGGGGGCGATAGGCACAGAGGGGGGATGCATCGCCTTCCCTCCCTCCTCCCTCCTCCCTCCCTGCCTCCTCGTCCTCCTCCTTCCTCCTCCCTTCTGCGGTGGCCAGGCTCCGAGCGCTGGGGCTCGTGGCGTTTGCAAGCTTCCCTCCTACTTACTCTAGCGGACGAAGAGCACGCGTCCCCGACTACTTCCTCCAGCTTCCCTCCTACTTGATCTAGCTTTCCTATTACTTCCCTCCTACTCCGGGGAACAGGCGTCCCCGACGGCGGACAAGTTCAGTTTATACCGTTCTCCGCCTGCTGCAGTCAACCCGCATTGTAAGGAAGAGCAACCTTCCCAAGGTTACCCTTGCATCCTTGCCTCCTCGGTCTATCCTTGGCCTCTTTCGCTGGCCGCGCCCCGCTCGAAAAGCTTCGGCGCGGCCTTCCAAGGCCCTTGCATCCGTATCGCGCATCCTTTCTACACGAGCTGACTGTAACTGCTGCAGCTGCTGATGCTGCTGCTGCTTCGCCTCTCTGCTGTATGCCCCCGTTCCCCCCCCCCCCCCCGAGGGCATCAAGCTGCCCCGTTCCCTGCGGCCGCCGTCGCAGTCCCAGTCGCAGGACCGCGCCTCCCCCCTTGCTGCCAGGTCCGCGCGAGAGGTCTCCTCCTCCTCCTCCTCCTCCTCCTCCTCCTCCTCCTCCTCCTCCTCTCTCCCGAGGACTCCCCCGCCGCTTCTGCCTCCTCCTCCTCCTCCTCCTCCTTCTCCTCCATCTCCCCCCTCCCGAGGACACCCCCGCCGCTTTTGCCTCCTCCTCATTTTCCTCCTCCTCCTCCTCCTCCTCCTCCATCTCCCTCCTCCCGAGGACTCCACCCCTCCAACCCGCCCCCTCGGCATCGCTCGGGCCTGTGCAGCTTTTCCTCGGCGAGGGCCCTCGATGGGCATCCTGGATCATCGAGTCCAAATATTCAGAGGAGGGACATGTAATCATCCCTCCGCGGCCTCCGTCGTCGCCACCGCTGGATTCGCCTCGAAATCCTGGTCTGAACGCACCCTGGGAGAGGTCCAAGGAGTAGCGGTATCGGTAACTTTTTGGCCCCCCAATAAAAGGCACGTTCGACACCGCAGAATGCATAGGGAAGGGATGTCCGAGCGACGGCAAACCTCGCGGCCTTCGCGCTGGCCCTTGGGATGGCACGGGCAAACGACACCGCCGATCCCGACCGCTCAGGTCTCGAGTAGGAGATCGTCGGCAGAAATCGTGTGCCCCAGAATTGAAGTCTGGCCGAAGCTCCGAGACAGATGTGCTGGTGATGGTTCGTAGATCTACGAACACTCATTCTGCATCTGTCCTGCAGATTCGAGGAAAAACCAGTTTGGGGCACATCAATTCCATAGTCGATCTCCGACTCGAGGATCGGATCTAGCCGGGACCCTGGGTAAGTTGAGAAGGTTACTGATTAGGCCCTGTAGCCCTACATGTTGGGCCAGCGGTACTGAACCAAGTCTGCCGTAGCTGATGTTGCTTTGGATGACGGCAGTTTTGGTCAGTGGAATCGGCGGGGGGGCGTCCCCTGGTACACATCATTGAACCAGGTCCCACATAACCCGGTCAGATCGTGATTGTTCTTTGATAGGCTCCATGGGACGGGGCGCGGGGATATCAACAAAGAGACGCGGGAGGCAAAGAAAGGGCCGCATGGATTGAAGAGGCTGATATCAGAAGCGCGGCTACGTCAGGCAGAGTCCATGGGTACCTAGTGTCAACTTCCCAATACGCCCCCATAACGGTAACGCCTGGGAACTGGTCACAGGCGTGAATTTTTGAAGCCTCCAAAGGACCCCCCCAAGCAGTTCTCACGGATCTAAACAGGACTCCTTAGCCACCGATATGTGAGAGGGAGGAGGACGAGGATGAGAAGGTGCAGGAGGAGGAGGAGGAGAAGGAAGAGGAAGAGGTGCAGTCGGCTGCTGTGGTTGCGCAAGCATCGGATTGCGCACCGGCGCCGTGGTGCACGAAGGCATTGCGGTGGACATGTATCCCGTGCCAGACGTCCCAACAAGCGCAAATAACCTACACATCCCACAAGGGTCTCGGCTTAAGTCGGGCCTGTCCCTCTACAGGGGGAATATTCAAAAATAGTACAAACATAGTCTGGGGACGATTTTTTTGAGTATTTTTTGACCATTCGGGAGTTTTTGTTTGATTCTTTTTTTTCCGTCGAAGTTCCCCCTGTAGGGGGACACGCCCGACTTCATGACTGTGCGAGGCTCGCGCCTGGTGCGCCGGGCGGGCCGTAGCTCGCACCACGTCTACTGCACCACGTATATAGCACTACACCTAGCTCGCACTGCACAGCTCGCACCATATATATATATATATATATTGCACACATAGCTTGCTCCACATATCTTGCACCACAGTCACTGCACTACACGACTTGCATCACATAGCTCACACCACATCTACTGCCCTGCACATTGCATCACCATCTCTCGCACCACATAGATTGCACTGCGCGGATTGCACCACTCAGGTTGCACCACCTAGCTTACACAACATAGACCCCACCTCATGTATTGCACCACATGTATTGCACTGCGTAGCTCGCACTCCATAGATGGCACCACACAACTTACATCAGAGCTCACATTACATCGATCATTACGTTAGCTTCTACTAGATATATTGCATCACGTACTTTACACTTAGTTTACACCTTATTTGTAACCCATATGTATATAGCACCACGTAGTCTGCACCACATGGCTCACAGCTCATAGCTTGCACCACGTATATTGCACCACATAGCGTCCACAACATGGCTTGCACCGTGTAGCTTGCACCACATAGATTGCATTGCCTAGTCTGATGGAACACACTGTTTGGGGTCCGCGCTGGCTAACATGAATTTGATACGTTTGTGGCCCGGTTCGATTTCCAGATTTCGTGCTCCCCGTCGGTTCCTTGGAGGTGTATGCAGGCTTTGTGGTGTACACATCCGTGTGCACAAACGCTGGTGAACGCAGGCGCGAGGGGTTGGTGCGCACGGCCGCTGTTGTGATGCAGGCATGTTGTTGCACACCGGCGCTGTGGTTTACGAAGGCACTGCGGCCCTAAAAACAAGGGCGGACCGTGCCCCAGGCCAGAAACATCAATGCATACATCCTAATGCATGTCCTTGTTTATGTTTATGTATGTATGTTTTTTTTATATCGATATATATATATACACACTATAATTGTATACGCTTCGCGAATCCCCGCCAGCCCATTCAGAAGCCTTGCCAAGGAGAGCCGACAGGAAAAAGTACGAGGAGACACATATGGTGAAACAGAGCGTGCGAGGAGAGGAGAGCAAGGAGGGTGTAGGCAATCTTGGAGCGTCGGAGGCCTTCTTGGATCTACTGAGCTGCATTGGGGGATAATGGGGTCCTCTTGGAGCTCTTTTGGGGCATCCTGGCGCCCTCTTGGGGCTCTCTGGGGGGTCTTGGGGTCCTCTTGGGGCTCTTTTGGGGAGCCTTGGGGCCCTCCTGGAGCGCTCTTGGGGCCTTCTTGGGGCTCTCTTGGGGCTCTTTTCGGGGCCTCTTGGAAGCCCTGGAGGGCCTCTTGGGGCCATCTTGGAAACCGTCGATCAACAGTGGGGGTCCTACATGTAGCCCCCCTTCCCAAGAGCCCTTGGAATCGCCTCTTGTGGCCTTCTTGCGGCCCTCTTGGAGCTCTCTTGGGCGGTCTTGGGGCCGTCTTGGGGGCCTCTGGGGCGCATCTTGGAGCTCTCTTGGGCCATCTGAGGGCCATCATGAGGCCTCAAAAGCGCAGAAGCGGAAAGGCGAGAAGGCAAAGATCATTGATTTTCCTATCGTTTTTGCAGGAGTGGCTTCTCGGGGGGGTCCTGAGGGGTATCCAAAAGCATCTGGATCCGACTTGTGGCGCGCTTGGGGCCTCTTGGAGGCATGTTGTTAGCTATCTTGAGCGATCTTGGAGGCCATCTTGGGCTCTCTGAGGCCCTCTTGTAGCCATCTTGGGCCATCTTGGGCGCTCTGACACCTCCGGCCCCTCCCCGTCCAGGCCCAAGGGAGGGGGGGGTTGGGGAAGGGGTAAGCCCCTCCGAGAAGGACAAGTGGGGCTTTTGGAAGAGGGAAGAAGGATATCGTTAGACCACATACGCCCAGAGGGCTGGTGAGATTCTTCAATGTGGCAGATTGGGGCCTACCACGATTTTCTGGAGTTTGGGTCCCGTCGGGACCTTGTGGTGTACGCAGGCTTTGTGGTATGCACAAGGACTGGTGGTCGCCCTCGCCAGGCCCAGCGGTGCACACGGCTTCTGTTGTGACGCAAGCATCATGTTGTACAGGCCCCGTGGTGCACGCCTGGATCGCCGGCCCAAAACACAGGGTGGACCGTATCCGGGTCCAAAAAGTTCAGTAAGCACACGTAACGTACCTATTGAATGTGATAATTTCGGCCCGCCACGATTTTCTGGAGTCTGGGCCTTGTCGGGATTGTGGTGTGCTCAGGCGCTGTGGTGCACGCAGGTGCTGTCGTGAACGCACGGGCTGCGGTGCGCGCAGGCGCTTGCAATGCAGGCGCTGCGGGAACGCCTTGGGGGGTGCACGCTTGCCGCCCCTCCCGCCGCCGACCCACCGCCCTCCTCCTCGGGGGGAGGAGAAGCGACACCAACACCACCAGGGGAGCCACCTCCAGAGAGGAGGTCAGCGATGCTTCCCCGAGCTGGAGGCTGGGGATGTCTCGAGCGAGAGGTGGGGCCACACCGCCAGGGAGACCCCCCCCACTTGCTCCTCGCATCTCGCCCTGGTGGTGTTGGTGTCGCCTTTCCTTGTTCCTACCCTCTGTACTTCGAGTTATCCCACATGGGTAAAAGAACGTTTTCGTCTGGCCTTGCAACGTTTCACACCGGGCGCTTACGCCTGGTTTCGGCCCCCGAGGCCATCACATGTTGATACGGCTCGAAAGCTGCGACAGACAGATGGAGGTTTTTGTTCTGTAAATTGAGGCAAGTTCACTTGCATGGCATTTCCCTCCCCCCATCCGCCGCCGTATTAAGCAGCGCTGGGCCGAAACGGCGTGCAAGCAAGCCCCGACTTGCGTGAAGGTCAGATTTCCTTTCGGGCCTTGCAACGCCCCAACCCCTTCCACCCAATGCAATTGAACGTGCCAGAGTCTGAAGAAAAAACGCGTCATGGGTCCAGGGCTCCCGTCGTGGTTTTTATGAACGATGCTGCAATTTTTGGCAACGTCGGATCTCAGGGACAGGGTTGAGATAGCCCGCTTCGCCCGGGACCAGGCGGATTCGCTATCGGGGGCCTGTCGCCGGTCCGTAGGCGATCCATCGCCGATTCCAGGCCGATTCCAGGTCACTCGGTTTGGGGTTTTCGGGCGTGTCCGAGAGTTTCCAGAGACTAAGTCGGGGAAACGACGCCCTTTCCTGCAAAGTGAAATTTTGTCGTCCAGCGCATTTGTTTGTCTGCACTGCGGGGTTCGGGCCTTGGTCCGGGTGTATTTTGGGAGGTTTTGCGGGCTCTGTGGGCCTTTCCGAGCAAGGGTGCGTTCTGGGACTGCTGCTGTTCATTTTGCGCCGCCGCCTGGGAGCAATTGTTTCGAGGGACGTTGGATGTCATGGTCTAGCGTGTACCGATTCAGGGGTCCTGATATTACCGACCGGTAGGTGTATTCTGCGCGCGTGTCATTTTGAGCATGAGCTGTTGTCTTGCCCAGCTACTAGCGATGCCATCTACCGTAGATGGCATCGCCACGCCCACACTTGGCAGCACATCCCTTTCTGCCACACCCCGCGCCAACATCCAACATATCATTGTTTATTGTGAAAAGCATTGCGGCCGGTGCCGCCGACCTTTCAGGCGGGAGCTCCCCCAGGACCCCCGCTGGCGCCTCCCCTCCCCCACCACAGGCGGGACCTCCTCCGGGACCTCCTTTCCAGGACCCCCCTCCCGCAGGGGGGACCCCTCTAGTGTCCTCCCTGTCAACAGGGGGGACCGGGGAGGGGAGGGGGGGCAGCTAGGACCCAGGAAAGGGGCGGTAATCTAACCCGCGACCCACCAACCGTTTCCCCCCACCCACTTGCCCCCCTGTATCCCCCCGTGCCCCCCCCCCCTGTCAGGGAGGGGAAGAAGAAGAGGGAACCATTGTAACTACGACGTTTCTTTTCTCTGCTCGTTCCTAGACTTCCTTGGGACTGGCGGCGACGACGACGACAACGAAGTCGACGACAGCGTCTCACACACACCGAAGGGTCGGCGGATGAGTGGTCGCCAGAAGGGGCCAACAGGCGCTGACAAACACTGATAGGCGCCGATCGGCGCCAATAGGCGCTGATCGGACGGAACCCGTCTTAGCATCACTCTCAAACATAATAAACGTTACACCAGAGTGTCCCCAATCAGTGGGTGGCTTTCGCCGAGAAGGTCGACCCGGAACCTGGGAGCCCGGGAACCCAGAACCCACCGAAACCGGCCCGGAGCCAATAACTGGGAACCCAGGAACCCAGAACCAGGAACCTGGGAACCCAGCCTGCTACCAACATCGGCGGGAAATGATCGCCAAATCTTTCAGCGCAAGCACTGCATGGGGAATAACGACAGCCAGACCCGAGAAGCCTTCCAGGGTGGAGGTAGCGCCCGTCAAGCTTCGAGGGAGTGGGCATCAGCGCAGGGTGCGCGTCGCACCCGCGCGGCGGCGGCCCCCTCCCCCCGCGCGTGTGCTGTAGGCTGAGCGCCGCCAGTCAGCCTGGTATCGGTCGAGTCCGATCGATCTCCGAAATCGAGAGGCAACGATCGTGGAAGATTCAGGTGGGGCTCGTAATACGTCCAAGATGCTATGGCACATGTGTCCACCACTTCGTGGCACATTATCGGCCCAATCCAGTGTGTACATATATATATATATGTGTATACATGTACATCTTTCCCAACCATCATGTGGTGTTGGGTCCTCGTTTTGAAGAGAGCGCCCCGCGTCCCTCCTGCCCTCCTCGCCCCTCTCCTTCCTCCCATCATCATCGTCAACATCATCACCATCACAATCACCATCACCATCACAATCATCATCATCATCATCATAATCACCATCATCATCCTCATCCTCATCCTCATCCTCATCCTCATTCCCACCACCACCACCATCACCACCTCTATCATCAACAATATCACCATAATCACAATGGCCACCATCCATCATCATATCAGCATTTTCATACTACTCACCACTTCCATCATCATCATCACCATCATCACCATCATCACCATCACCATCACCATCATGACATCATCATCATCACCACCACCATAGCCACCATGATCATCATGATCACCAAGCTCATCATGCTCACCATCATCATCACCACCATCATCATAAGCATCATCAATCTCATCATCTATATCGTCACCATTATCTTCATCATCAAGATCACCACTATCCCGTCATCACCATCACAATAATCAATACCATCACCAGCATCATTATACTCATCAACATCTTCATTACACTTTTCACCTGCATACTCATTTCCATCTTTATCGTATCAAGCATCCACACCTTCGTAGTCATACTTATCTTCATCGTAATCATGGTCTGTACCCTCGTCTTCCTCGTCGTCATTATCATCACCATCGTCATCATCATAATCATTATTATCGTCAGCATCATAATCATCATTACCATCATCATCAGCAGCAACATCATCATCGCCGTCATCATCGCCGTCATCACCACCATGATCGCCATCAGCTTCGTCACACTCCTCACATGTTTTATGCCCCCCCCTCCCCATGGGGAGCTAGGCCGAAGGTCCCAGTGGCGCAGCCCGCATGTGTCCCCGTCATTCATTTCAGCACACCCTCACACGCTGCGTGGTCCCGTAGGGAGCTCCACCGAAGGTCCCAGTGGCGCAGCCCGCACGCGTCCGCGCCACTTATTTCAGCACACCCTCATACGCTGTGTGGTTCCATAGGGAGCTCCACTGAAAGTACCAGTGGCGCAGCCCGCATGCGTCCCCGCCACACATTTCAGCACACCCTCACACGTATCGTGGCCCCATTGGGAGTTCCACCGAAGGCCGCAGTGGCGCCCGCATGCGTCCCCGCCACCCATGTCGGCACAGCCTCACACGTTCTGTGGCCCCATGTTGCCCACAGCCGATCTCGGCCCCGCTAGTGGGCGCTCTTCTCGGCATTCAGTCGCGCCCAGTGTTCAAAAGCGCCTGGGAAGCCATCTGCCAGGTGCAGCGGGTTCCTTCGCCCCCTTTCGCTGTCGATTAGCTCTCTTTTGCATCCCTCGTCGGGCAGGAAAGCCCCGGGGTTTGGCCGTTTGCCTTGAAGGAGGAGGAGGAGGAGGTGCAGGAGGACACGAGAAACTGAGCGGACTTGCTTCGGCCCCAAAACAGCACGAAACGACCCTCCGATCATGAAGACCTCAATTTCGTCGAGAGGGAACAAGGAAGACCAGAGCAGAGACAATCTACAGCAACGAGGCGGCATCATATCGTCCCGTCCCAATTCCCTTCCTCGCATAAAGTTCAGTGCGTGTCACGCGACAGCAGCATTCTGAAACGAGCCGCCTTCCACCGTGTAGCTATTGCAAATTCTTTTGCTTCGCAGCAGACAAACATGGATAATTGTCGAACGAGCGCCCCATTCCGAAAATGAGCCGCTCTCCATGTGCATGGCTGGCCGGGGCACGCTGTTGAGTATGGGCTAATCACATCGGCGTAGATCTCAAGGGCGAGCTCCATTTTGAAAGGGAGCTGCCCTCCATCCGAGTGGTGGTTGCACATGGTGACATTTCGGGCAAGAAAAACCGCAGAAGTCTCAGGCGAGAGCTCCACTGTGTAAAGGAACCGGCCTCCGTCCAGTGGTGCAACTTCGCGACGAACTCCGACGGCCCTCTCTGAGTCCGAAGCCGAAGAAAGGATGACGGTCTAGACTTCTTCACGTCGAAGAACGTGTAGAGCGCTTCTTCCTCCTGCTCCCCTTCCTCCTTCTCCTTCCCCCGTCCCTCCTCCTGCCACTTCGAGGCCCTTGATTCCCCCCGCCCCCGCGCCTTCTTCCTCCCCATCCTCCTGTATCTCCTCCCCCCGCCTTCCGCCTCCCTCCTCCCTCCTTTTCTTTCCCTCCTCCTCCGCCCTTGGCCCCCCCCCCCGGCCGCGGCCCGCAGGGGACGAGGACGAGGCCCGAGTCCAGCAGCTCGGTGGGAGCCTCCGCGCTGTCGCCGCCGCCGCTGGAGCTGCCGCCGTCGCCGTCGCTGCCCTGCCTTGCCGCCGTCGTCGTCGTGACCGCCGCCGTCTCTGTCGCCTGGTCCGTATCCGATGAGGGTGATGATGAGGACGACGACGACGAAGACGACGAAGACGACGACTAGGAGGAGGATGACGACGAGTCATGGTGATGATAGCGATGATGATGGTAATGATAGCGTTGGTGATGATGATGGTGATGATGTTGATGTTGATGTTGTTGATGATGATGATGATGATGATGCTGATGATGATGATGATGATGGTGATGGTGAAGGTGCTGCTGTTGCTGCTCACGACGACTGTACTGATGATGCTGATGATGAGTATGCTGATGGTGGTGTTGGGGACGGTGATGATGACGATTATCATTAATTATGACGAATATGATGCTTATGAGTATGGTTATGGTGATGGTGCTGATGGTGACCGTGGCGCTGATGATGATACGGATGCTGATGCTGATGCTGATATCGACGACGATGTTGATGCTGCTGATGATGATGATGCTGATTCGGATGATCATGATGCTAATGCTGCTGCTGCCGAAGATGATGATGCTGATGATGCCGATCATGACGAGGTTGATTATGCTGATGGCGATGATGTTGCTGGTGAGGATGGTCGTGGTACTGATGATGACGATGTTGATTATGTTACGGATGCTCATTTTGATGTTGCTGCTGATAACGACGATGAGGTGACTATTGGTGCTGACGATGGTGGCGATGATGCTGCTGCTCATGATGCTGGTTTTGATGATGACGGTAATGACGATACTCATGCTGCTGATGATGCTGATGCTTTTGCTGCTGAGGATGCTGCTGATGATGATGCTGATGATGCTGATGCTGATGATGCTGATGCGGATGATCCTTCTAAGTATGATGATGCTGATACTGATACTGATACTGCCGATGCTGCTGATGAGGATGATGACTCGGATGGTGATTATGGTGATGTCATTGATGATGCTCAGGATGATGATGCTGCTGTTGGTGAGGATGATGCTGAGGACGATGATGCTGCTAGACGGTCGTGATGCTAGGTGATGATGGTGATGCTGGTGATGCTAACGTCGATGATGATAATGCTGATGCTGATGCTGACGATGCACATGATTCTGATGCTGATGATGACGTTCGTGATGATGCTGGTGCTGATGCTGATGCTGATGCTGCTGATGATGCTGATGCTGCAGATGCCGATACTGATACTGATTATGATGCTGCTGATACGGATGACGTCGATGATGATGGCGATGCGGACGATAATGATCCTGCTGCTGCTGATGCTGATGATGTTGATGATGCTGATGCTGCTGCTGATGATGATGCTGTTTAGGATGATGATGATGATGATGATGATGATGATGATGATGATGCCGACGATGCTGGTGATTATGCTGAGGACGCTGCTGTTGTTGATGCTGAAGATTCTGATGTTGTCGATGATGATTGTGATGATGATGCTGATGATGACGATTATGCTGATGCTGAGGATGCTGATGGTGATGCTGGTGCTGATGCTGCTGCTGCTGCTGATGATGATGATGATGATGATGATGATGATTTGGACGATGCTGCTGATGATGCTGCTGCTGAAGGGGATGCCTCTGACGCTGATGATGATGCTGATTATGCTGATGATGCTGATGATGCTGATGATGAGGATGCTGATGGTGATGATGATGCTGATGCGGATGAGCAGGCGGATGATGAGACTGAGGCGGAGGCTGATGTGATGAACGGGGGGGGGGAGGGAAACATGAGCATCAGCACGACGATGTGCAGGATGGAGTTTGAGTAGGGAGAATATGGGGGGAGGATTTGCGAGCAGGGATGCGTAGGAGGGAGGGAAGTGCAGGCGGGAAGAGGGAGCGGGAGGCGGAGGAAGGGGGACGCGTATCATTAGTGGGGGGTCGTCGTGGTCGTGGTCGTGTTCGGATCTGGGGTGCATCTTGAGGAGCTCTCCAGAACGCGCTCAGCCTTAACGATGAAGATCTCCACAAACGCCCAGACCCCTGAAATGGCGACGAAGACGACCACGACCATCATGACCACGACAATGACCACGACTAGAACGCCGACGTCGACTGCCACGACGACGACGACCACGACCAGCGCCACGACCACGACGACGACGACGACGACCACGACCACGACGACCACGACGGCGTCGACGACCCCGACCACACCAACGACCGCGACCACGATCACGACCACGACGACGACCCCGATCACGACTGAGCCGACGACGACCACGACAACGACGACGCTGATGACGACGGCGACGACCACGACCACAACCACGATCACGACGACCACGACCACGATGAACACGACGACGACGACAATGACCTCGACCGCAACCACGGCAACAACCACGACAACGACCACGACCACGACCACGACCACGACGACGACGACGACCACGACGACGACGTCGACCACGACCACGACCACGACGACCACGCCAGCGTCGACGATCCCGACAACAACGACCGCGACCACGATCACGACCGCGACGACGACCACGACCACGACTAAGCCGACGACGACCACGACGACGACGCCGATGACGACGGCGACGACCACGACCACGACCACGATCACGACGACCACGACCACGACGACCACGACGCGATCACGCCGACGTCGGCTGATCACGACCACGACCACGACCACGACGACGACCACGACCACGACGATGACGACCACCACGACGGCAACAATGACCACGACCACGACCAAGATCACGACCACGACCACGACAACGTCCACGACCACGTCGAATGGGATGACGAAGTCGACCACGACGCCGCCGCCGACGCCGACGATGATTATAACAGCGGTAAACACTGCCACGTCAAAAATATAACAAAAACGGACGACGCCGACGATGACGACGACCACTACCATGACGACGATGACTTTGACAATGACCACGAGGACGACGATCACGACAACGACCACGATCAGGACGGCGAAGATGGCGACGACGACCACGACCACGACCACGATCAAGACCACGACCACGACCACGATCAAGGCGACGTCGACGTACACGACCACGACCACCTCCATTACCGCGCCGACGACGACAACGACGACGACTACGACGACCACGAAAGCGACGACGATGTCGACGACGACGACGACCACGGCCACCACGGAGACGACACCGACGACCACGACCACGACGACGACCACCACGACGACGACGACGAGGACGAGGACCACGGCGACCACGACGACCACCACGATCTTGTCGACGACGAGGACGACCCCGACCCCGACCCCGACCACGTCCACAACGACGACGACGTCGACGCCAACAACCACGAGCACGACCACGACAGCAACGACCGCGATGTCGATGCCGACGTCGACGACAATGACGACCACGACCACGACCACGACTTCGAGCACGTCGACGACTACGAAGGCGACGAACACGTTCACGCCCACGACGGCGCCGCCTACGACGGTGACCACGACCACGGCCAAGACCAAGACCAAGACTCTGGCGGTGACGACAACGACGACGACGACGACCACGACCACGACCACGACGACGACCACGACGACGACGATGACCTCCACGTCGACGTCGACGTCGACGACGCAGATCACGACTGCGACTACGTCCACGTTCACGATCACGTCGACGACGGCCACCACCACGACGTCTTCGAAGACGACCACGACCACGACCACGGCGACGACCACGACCACGACCATGACGACGACGACCACGACCACCACGGCGACCACGACCACGACCACGACGACGACCACTATGACGACGCCGACTATGATGACGACGTTGACGACGACCACGTCGACGACGACGACCACGACGACGACCCCGACTAAAACGACGACGACGACGCTCACGACCACGACGTCGACGACGACGACGCCGGCGACGAAGATGACGACGACGATCACGACGGCGACGACCACGTCGACGACGACCACGACTACGAGCGCGACCACGACGACGATCTCGACCACGCCTACGACGACGACAAAGACGACAACGACGACCACCCGACGTCGACGACCACGTCGGCGACGACGACGACGGCGGCGACAAAGTCGTTGATTACCTCGAGCACCACAAAAACGACAACGTCGACGACGACAGTGACCACGACCACGACCACGACGACCACGGCAACGACCACGACCACGGCGACGACGACAACGACCACGACCACGACGATGACCGCGACGACGACGACTACCCCCACGACGAGGACGACCATGATGACGACCACGACGACGACGCCAACACCGACGACCGTGACGTCAACAGCGACGACGGCCAAGACGGCGACCACGACGGCGATAGCGACGACAACCACGACGACGACGACGCTGGCCACGACCACGACGACGACCCCCGCTATTGTGACGATGACCGTGACCACGACCACGACCACGACCACCACCACTTTCAAAACGACGCCGACGACGACGACAACGACGGCGACGACGACAACGCCGATGGCGACCACGACGACGGCCACGACCACGACCACGACGACGACGACCACGACGATAATGACGACGGCCACCACGACGACGACGACGCCGACGACCTCGTCGACGATGGCGATGACGGCGTTGACGATGACCACGGCTGCGACGACCAAGACCACGATCACGACGACGCCGTCGCCGCGACGACGACGACGACGACCACGACCACGAGCACGACCACGACGTCGACCACGACGGCGACCACCAAGACGACGATGACGACCACGACGATGACCACGGCGTCGACGCCGACGACGACCACGGCCATGAAGACGACGACTTCGACGACGACCACGACGACGACCACCACGCCGACGACGACGACGACAACAACGACCACGAAGACCAGAACGACCACAACCACAACCACGACGTCGCTGGTCAGGACGACGAAGACACCCACGACCACGACCACGACCACGACCACGTCTACGACGACGATCTCGTCGACGATGATGATCGCGACAACGACCTTGACCACGACAATGACCACGACCACGATCACGACCACGACCCTGAGGACGATCACGACGACGACGCCCACGACCACGACGACGACGTTGATGACGACTATGACGACGACGCCAGCGACGACGACGACGACATTGACGACCAGAACTACGTACACGAAGACGACGACCACGTCGACGACGACGACGACAACGCCTCCGACGACGCCGACCAAGACGTCGAAGACTTAGACGACCAAGACCACCACCACGACATTGACCATGACCACGACCACGACCACCGCGACGACAACGACCACGATCATGACCACGACGACGACCATGGCCACGACCACGACGACGACGACCGCGACGACGGCAACGATCGCGACCACGACCACGTCCACGACCACTACAACGTCCACGACCACGACAACGTCCACGACGACGAGGATGACGCTAACAACGACGACAGCGATGACGACGATCTCGTTGACGACCACCACGACGACGACGACAACGACGGCCACGGCGACCACTACGATGACGACGACCATGTTGACGACGACGACCACGACCACGACCGCGAGCACTACCACGACCACGACGCCGACGACCATGACGACCACGACCACGACGACCACGACCTCGAGGACGACGACCACGACCCTGACGTCCACTCTGATGACGACGACGACCACGTCGACGACGACGACAACGACGACGACGACCACCACGACGACGACCCCAACTCCGCCGACGACAACGTCAACGACGACGACTACGACGACCACGGCCACGATGACGACAGCGACGACGACGACGTCCACGACGTCTACCATGACGGCGACGCCGAAGAGGACGACAGCGACATCGATTTTGACGACGGCCACGACCACGACGACGACGGCTGCGACGACCACGACGATGTCGACGACCTCGACTGCCACTTTGACGACGACGTCGACGATGGCCACGACGACGACCACGACCACGACGACGACCACAACGACGACGTCGACCACGGCCACGACGACGACGACCCTTACGACCGCGACGACGAGCGCTGACGGCGACGACGACGACCACGACAACGACCATACCACAACCACGATGACGACGACGACCACGACCACGACCACAACCACGACGCTGACCACGATAACGACGTCGACAAAGACGACGACGGCCTCATCGACGTCGACGGTGGTGCCGACGAAGACTATGACCGCGACCACGGCCACGGCCACGTCGATGACGATGACGCCGACGACGACTAGGATGATGACGACCATGACCACGACGTCGACGAACACGACCACGACCACGACCACTGCGACGACGGCGGCCACGACGACGACGACTGCTACGACGACAACCTTGACGACGACGCCGTTGACGACGACGACGATCACGACGACGACGACCTTGACCACGACCACGACGTCCAAGCCGCCGCTATGACGATATCGACCACGACCACGACCACGACCGCGCCACTATGACGATATCGACGACCACGCCGACGACGACGACCACGACGACGACCATGACCACGACCACAGCCACGATGACGGCGACCAAGGCGACGACGATCACGAGCACGACGACGACCACGACGACGACGACCACGACGACGATGGCGCCGACGACGACCACGACCACGAGCATGACCACGCCCACGCTTAGGAGGACGAAGGACGCCGCCGACGACCACCACGACGCCGACGTCGCCGACGGCGACGACGACGACCACGATGTCGGCGACAACGAAAACCCCGACCACGACGCCGACGACGACGGCCACCAAGACGCCTTCGACGACGACATCGATGACGATGTCGACGCCGACGACGATCACGACCACGACGACGACGACAACCAGGACCACGACGACGGCGCGGACGTCGACGACGACCATGCCCACGCCCACAACCACGACCACGACCACCACGACGCCGACGAACACGAGGGCGACGACGACGCCGAGGAGGACCTCCGCGACCACGTCGACGACGACCACGACGTCGGCGAAGACCACGACCACGACGACCACGACCACGACGACCACGACGACGCCGACGGCGACACCGACGACGATGACCACCACGTGGACGACGACCACGACCACGACGGCCGCGCCGACGACGACGACCACGACCACGACCACGACCACGACCACGACCAATACCACGACGAAGACGGCGCCGACGACGACGGCAAGAACCACGACCACGACCACGACCACGGCCGCGACGGGCGACGACGACGACCACGTCGACGACGTCGACGACGACCACGATGACGACGATGACGACGAGGACGAGGATGACGGGCGCGACGACGACGACGACCACTACGACGTCGACGACGACGGCAACGATGATGACCACGCCGACCACGACGACCACGACGGCGACGACCACGACCACGGCCACGACGACGACGGCTACGACGACGACTACGCCGACGACCACCACGACGACGACGGATTATGACGACGAACACGACCGCGACCACGACGTCGGCGACGACGACCACGACCACGACCGCGACGACCAGGACGACGACGACGACCGCGACAACGACCACGACGATCACGCCGACCTCGACTGATCACGACCACGATCACGACCACGACCACGACGACGAGGGCAACAACCACGACCACGACGACGACGACCACGACGACGACATCACGACCACGACCACGACCACGACCACGACGCCACGGCCACGACCACGACCACGACCACGACCACGACGTTGACGACGACCACGACGATGATGACGAATACGACCACGACAATGACGACGATGGCCACGTCGACGGTAATTCCGATGACGTTGCTGACGACCACGACGACGACGAACACGACCGCGACCACGACCACGACGACGACGACGCCGACACCAACGCCGACCATGACCACCACCACGCCCACGAGCACGACGCCTACGACAACGACGACCACGACCACGACCACGACAACGACGATAACCACGTCGACGATGACCACTACGACGTGACACTACCACGACCATGACCACCACCACGACCACGACCACGATGTCGACGACGACGACCACGACGCCTACGACAACCACGATGACTACGACGCCGACCACGACGTCGACCACGACCACGGCCACGACGACCACGACCACGACGACGACGACCACGACGACGATGACCACAACAACGACCACGACGACGACGTCGAAGTCGACGACGACGAACACGACCACGACGACGACGGCAACAACCACGACCACGACCACGACGACCACGACAGCGACGACCACGACCACGACCACGACCACGACGATGACCACGACCACGACGACCACGACTACGACCACTACCACGACGTGGACGACGACCACGACGACGATGACCAAAGCGTCCACCGCGACGATGACGACGGCGACGGCGACGTTGACGACGGTTGCGACGACGTCGACGACGACCACGACGACGATGACGTTGACGACCACGACCACGATGCCGATGCTAATGCTGACCATGACTACGACCACGCCCACGAGCACGACGCTTACGACGACGACGACCACGACCACGACCACGACCACGACGACGGCGATGACCAAGGCGACGACGACGACCACAACGACGTGGCGACGACGGTGACGACCAAGACGGCGCCGACCAAGACGCCGCGACGAGGACGACGAAGACAATCACGACAATCACGACGACCACGACGACGACGACGACGGCGACGACGACGACTGCCGAGCCCCAGCCTTCGCAGGTGGCGGCCGAGCGGAGCCTCGGTGCGAAGGAGGCGCCGACGCCGCAGGCGGCGCGGGGTTTCCCCGGGCGGAGCCCTCCCCCCCCCCGAGGAGGCAGGCGTTCCGGGGCGGCCGCGCCAGGGGGGCGGCCAGGGAGAGCGGTGAGGACTGGTGGGGGCGGGGCCGATGTTGGAGGAGGGCCCCGCGGAGCGGGGTTGGAGGAGGAGGAGGAGGAGGAGGAGGAGGAGGAGGTCAGCAGGCAGGTGCCGCGGGTCCTCCTCCTCCTCCTCCTCGTCCTCTTCCTCTTCCTCGTCCTTCTCCTCCTCCTCCTCCTCCACCTCCACCTGCTCCAGCTCCAGCTCCTCCTCCTCCTCCTCCTCCTCCTCCTCCTCCTCCTCCTCCTCCATACCGCCGCCGCCACTCGGGGGGCCGAGGGCGGGGTGATGACTGGGGGTGGGGGGGACATGTCCAGGGCCGCGATGTCCTCTCCCCAGATTTTCTTGCGCCTTTTTTTCACATGCGTGCCCTGGGCCCCTGCCCCGGGGCCGCGCACGTGCCTCGGGCCATGCTTTGCGGCCCCCCGCCCTTAGACTTACGTGGGGCACCTGTTCCGTCCTCCCAAGGGGGCGGGCGGGAACCCAATCTATGTTCAGCGCCTTCCTGCTTCATGCTTCTGCCCACTTCTTCCGGCCTGGGTACGCCTGGGCAACGCTTCTCCACCGAGCCCTGCTGGAGGATGGCCCGAGCTCGGCGTGCATAGACGTGCCGGAAGCCGACCATGCTGGCGACGCATGCTCATGCGTTGCGCGCACCAGTGCTCATGCATTGCGCGTACCCCCGACCTAACTCTCTTCACATAGCGAAGTACCTACTGAGGATAAGGGTACCAAGAAGAACCCTGCTTGCCTCCAGGGTGCCCTGTGCTTCTTCGGTTTCGATGTTCTTGCTATGGCAAGCGTGGCGCTCCCACGCCAAAAATCAATGGACGTCCTAGGGTCTCAAGGTTGGGTCTCTTGGTGAAGGTTTCTTGTGGTCGAGCTCCTGCTGCACCTACCCCGCTTTCGCTTCCAGGCCAAACCAGGTCATGCCGCGCGCCTCCGCGTCGAGCAGCCTGACCGTTGCAGGCTCCCCTTCGGATGGACTGGTATCTTTTGGTTCCCGTCTGGAAGCGAGGGTGGTCAAAAGAGAGGTGGGTTCGCTTCAGGAGGGGAAAAACACACACAGACACAATTCATTGTCGATCCCCCAGAAAACATGGGAAATATGGGAATTGGGGGGGAAGACAAAAAAAACCCAGAAAATACGGGAACATCTGGGGAATCCTGTTAGTTGTGTCTATTTATTTGTGTGTCCCAGGGCCCCTTCATCGTTTGCCTCTGAATCCTTGGGGTCTGACGGCGCCCACAGACGAGCACATCGTGCGAAATCGCGGCCGCAGCCCAGCGCTCTGTCCTCTCAACGTCGCTCCTCGAGTCCGGATCGATCCGCGAGGGCATTATCGGGGCCCGAGGCTGTTCGGCGCGAATTATATTCATGTATATCTGTGTATGTATATATACATATATATATATATACATAGATTCCTCTTCCTATATTTTTACAAGCCCGGGCGGGGGGGAAACCCATCCCCCCCCAACAAAGAAAACGGACTCCCGGGATCTGGGGCTTTGGGACCCTCTGGACGGGCCTCGAAGCGGCCCCGGGGCCTCGCAGGGCGTTTTGCCAAGCCTTCCCAGCACAGCTAGGGCGATCAGGGGGAGACGTTCCAGAGACCCAAGACAGCACAAGAGAGCTCCAAGAGTGACCGACGTGACCTCAAGATGGCCCAAGAGGCCTCCAGGACGGCCCCAAAGAGGCCTCCCGACGCTCCAAGACGGCGGTCTTCTGGGCGTCCGAAGCCGCTTGGGAGGCTCCCAAATCGCCCCGCAACCATCCGAAAGGACTTCAGGCAGCCAAAGAGAGCCTCAAAACGGCACACCACGGGTCCAAGGTGGCCCTCAGAGAGCCCCATGGCGGCTCAAGATGGCCCAAAGACACCTTCTGAAGCATTCCAAATGGTGACCCGGTTGTTCAGGGAGACCGCGGTTGGAGGCAGGGTGGCCCGAGGAAGCCCCCGGAGGCCCCCAGAATACGCTCAGGAGGCCTCCAGAAGGCCTTAAGACAGCCTGAAACAACTTTTGTGAGGCCCCCAGAGGCTCTCCAAGGAGGAGCCTCCGCAAAAAAGAGCTGAGGAGGATGGGGAGAATGCGCAGGGTATGGCGAAAATGAGGAAACAGAAGCATGGAGGAAGGATAACGGATACCATAGTATATAGCGGCGATGCCGGAAAAGGCAACAAGGAGTTATCGCTCAATTGTCGGCTTGACCTTCCTGCTATTCCGCCTGCGTACCAAACTTCAAGGACCAAGGTGCAGTGGCGCGAAGCGCCACTGCAGTCTTGCGTGTATATATATACACATACAAGGAGGAGGAGGAGGAGGAGGAGGAGGAGGAGCAGGAGGAGGAGGAGCAGGAGGAGGAGGTATGCATATATATGTATATATATATATATATATATATATATATATATATATGCCACGCCCGATCTCATCATCTTCCTAAGCTCGACCCTCTGTCCGAAGTCCTCGGCCCTCGACCCGCGATCCTTGGTTCTCGACCCTCGATCCTCGATCTCCGATCCTCGATCCCTCGTTCTCGATCGCCGATCCTAGGCCCTCGATCCAAGATCTGCGATCCTCGATCCTCTGCCCTCGATCCTCGATGCTTGATCCAAGATCCTCGATCCTCGGAGCTTCCTGGCGGCGGCGTCGGCGACCGACCGCGCCGGCAAGCCGCCGGAGAGAGAGAGAGAGAGGCGCCCCCCGGCGGCCGCCACAGCAGCGCCGGCGGCGGACACCAGTTCTCCGTGCAGCAGGAGGCCCGGGATGGAGAGCTTCCCGGTCGGGCAGAGGGGGGAAGTGACATCGGGAGCCTCGAGACGGGGGTCAATGCAAACGGGGGTCAGCCAGGGCACCGGATCCTGCAGGATCCTGCGAAGACCCCCTCTGGCTGACCCGGGTTAGCGAGCCGCTCGTGGCCGCGAGGCGGCCGCGCATATTGGCTGACCCGGCTATGCGAAGACCTGCGTTGCAGTTTTTTTTCCTGCATTGCAGTTTTTGGTTTCCTGCTGACCCGGGTCTGGATTGACCCAGGTCAGAAGATCCCCGAAGTGATCGCCGGCCGAGGGAGCGGAAACATGGATGGAGTCGAAGAGGAGCAAGCGCCATAAGCATAATTACACTTGTGGCGCTCCGGGCGGGTTTCTTGGATCCGCGCTTTGCCCCCCCCCCCCCCCCCCTCCCCCCTGGAGCGCCTCTGGCGCCGGCCCTGGCGCGCTCCATGCGTCTGGCGCGCTCCGCGCGCCAGGAAGGGGGTCCAGCGCGGATCCAAGATATGGCGCGCGGAGCGCCAAACTTGTATGTTTATGCCGTTTGTTCTTCTTCTAGACGTGATCCCCAGCCGAGGGAACAGAAGCATGGATTGAGGCGCGTGGACTCGCGACTGGTCCCGTTTCCACGCGGAGTCCACGCGCTTCGTCCTCAGGTGGGGCGGCACTGGCGCCATGTCTCGTGTTGCCCCCTGGTCCGTGGGTCTGGCGCCCACACGTCAGATCCATCAGCCTGCGCCCGAGCCCGAGTCGCCCTCGCTCCGCTAGGGAGGTCGCCCGTGCCCACCAGGGCATGGCGTGGAGGCCGTGGCCTCAGACATGCGGCACGTGCGCGGACGCGCGTGGTAACTCGGAAATTGGAACATACACATTACCAGTGGCGGGCTGTTTTTCAATCCCAGGACTTGTTGAGGGTCGGGGACGACTTGGGGTGGCGTGGCGTACACTTTTTTCCCGCGTCCCGGGGGAACAGCGGAAGCATGTATACACCAGGAACCCTTATACACGAGGATCCGCTTTCCCGTGCAAGTGTCAGCGCAGGGCCAGAAACAACGCGTCGGTGTCTAGAGCTTGCTTCCCTGAGTCACCATTCGGCAAAGTCGTTGATGTCGTTTGCATTTTCGTGAGTTCCTCTGCTGGTGGATCCTCTCTCGGGTCCCGCCGCCGTGTTTGCGCGCCGCCCTCGACGCAGGCGGTCTGCGCAGTCCTCAGCGCAGCACACATCATGTACCCCGCCCGCCCGTGTTGTAGATCGCAGCTGTCGTGCCGCATCGCTGGCGGAGGAACAAGAGTTAAGTCGGGCATGTTCCTCTACAGGAGGTATTCGAGCATAGCTACAAGATAGTACGGGACACTTTCCGTGCTCCTTTGTCTATTTTGGATGTTTACTTATATTTTATGTATTTGCCAGCATCCGCCTGTAGGAGAACATGCCCGACCTACAACAAGTGTGTGTGTGTGTGGGAATGTGTGTTTGAGGGTCAGGCGTCGCGCGTCGCCCGCTACTGTCGCCGTACTCCGCCTCGTCGCTGCGCGCGGGGTCGCGACCGCACCAACTGTGTGTGTGTGTGCGTGTGTGTGTGTGTGTGTGTGTGTGTGTGTGTGTGTGTGTGTCGCTCCCCTCCTGCATGGTGGCCTAATGCGCGTTTCGTGCGCCCACCATGGCCCTCTCGCCAGCGCAGTGACTCTGCCTAGCCGCCGACGCAACGAGTAAGTGTGTGCGTGTGTGCCTCGGTGTGCGCGTGTACTTGTCGCCTATGGGGGCACTGCTCGCAGGCACGCGTGTGGGCGTGGCGCATAACCTCAGCGAGCCTGGGGCCGTCCTTTTGCTGACTAAGATGGAAGAGCAATCTCCGATACGACTCGTTGTCGACCCCATCTTGCACGCCATCCCCGCAGAAATGACTTGCCGCCTTCCTCCATATCTGCTCGCTCGCTGAGGTGACAATGTCGGTCAGGATGCCGCCGCGCGTGTCGACCGCTTTGACACCCGTATCAATATCATCTGGAATTTGCCACTCCTCCGTGGTGCCCCATTCACTCTGAAAAAGGCCATGTGCTAGGATCTGTCGGCTGCCACTTCAAACGTAGGAGGTGGAGGATGACCGCTGACGTAGGACCTTGAACTCGCCTGAGCTGCACTCTAGGTGCCTGGTCCGTCAAGGCGTCCACAACCTTTGGCCACACATGTCGTATGCTCCGCCGAAGGTCTGGATGCGGCTACCATGTCGAAAGCCATAAATCGATGGTGCGCCGCGGATCCGCGGATACACAACTGCCGGATCTTGGTCTGGCGCTCTCAGATCTAAGAGCGTCGTGAGGCACTTGCCTTTGGTAGGGCAGGCGCGCACCTGGCCAAGCCGACGACGGCACTCCGTAACCTGCTGTCCAAACGTAGCATGCACTTGATGTCCGTACGTGCCAGCTGGCTGGCCGCCAGCCTTCTCGAGCCGTGCTGTGTTGATACCTCCGCGAAGCACGAGAAAACCAGGCAACCTGGGCACTCATCTGCTTATGTTTCAGGTCGCGCTTGACACGCACAGCACGACCCCGATGTCCGCAACTAAAATCCACTCTCAAATACGTAGACTTCCTCGCCGCCTGAACCCGACAACCTCTGAGTCGTACAGCTCGTGCCACCGCCACCGCGTCCTCGAACTTGGAGCAGAGCACGACTGATTTGGGGGAGACGCGCAGTTTTTTTTCCTTCTCGCCAGCGCCTTCCCCGTGTTCACGATACACTGGACCAAACTCTTGCGCGCCGCCTGCCTGGGCCCATCCGCCGTCTGGGACACGTCGTCGGTCCAGAGGCGGTGGCCCATGCGCGGGCTGGCGGTGGTGACCTGCTTCATCACAAAGTAGGTCATGATGCGCGCAAAGCGCGTGCCAGCCCTGAGCCCCTGGACGACGCTGTGGCCCGGCTGAAAAGGCACCGAAGCCGCGCCGTCCTGGAGCAAACACCTGCGCACCGCGCACTGGAGGATCTCCAACCCCGGCACGACGGGAGGGAAACCCATGCGCAGAGCTCCCCGCGCCAGGGCATCCCAGGGGATGTAGCCGTAGAGCTCCCGGATGTCCGTCAGCGCGCGCCCGAAGCAGATGCCCATGGTGTGGGGCGGCCAGCTCCTCGTCGATGGCCCTGAGGTAGGCGTCCTGCAGGCATGAGTTGCCCTCGATGGCGGCATCCCACGCTGCGGTGTTGGCTCGCGGCCCGTCCTTGACAATTGGCTCCGTGATCAAGGACCACAGCCGCCCCAGCATGGGGATGATGCCGATGGCCCGATCCCCTGCCGTCTTGCTGGGCAGACGACGGCAGAGCACCATCATGAGCTGCACGGGCCACGTCATGGTGGACTCGACTGCCTGGAGCACCAGCGCGAGCTCCTCGATGGCCTGCCTGGGGAGCCCCTGATAGTCGACGGGGGTGAACATATCCACCCCCAGCCCTGCATTCTTTTTCACCTTGGCAGCGCAACAGTATATGTCGTTCCCCGAGATTGGTGGACGAATCATTCGAAACAACTCAACCACCGCCGCCTCGTCCAGCTCCTTGGGTGCCCACAGATTCTTGAACGCCTTCTGTTTACGGTCGATAACACAGATAGGATGACACAACATTGAATTGCCAACAATAAGCTCATGCTGTGGAAGAGGTTGCAGCTTCAGGGATCAATGTGAGATTCCTGGTGCTGTCGGCTCCGTGATCCATTCTCTGAACTCAGCTAGCGACTCGTGTAGAGCAGCCCGTTGAGCACGTTCCATGACCCTCCTCGCCGAGTCGACGAAGGAGTCAAGCACGACCAGACGGAACTCACTCGGGCGCAGCAGCAGCTCCAGCCATTTCGCCCAGGGTGGATCGCGCTCTTCCCTGAGAATGATTTGGACTGCCTGGGGCCTGGCTTCGTGCAGGCACGCGCGAGCCCCCTCGAACGGTCTCACCAGCTTGGGCCCGTTCTCGCGACTCCTGTGCCTGTGGAGGCCCCCCAGCACCGTGTGTAGTCTCGTCCACCACTGACTCCTCTGATCCCGCAGTGGTAGCTCTCGAAGGTGAAGTGTTTGCCGAAGCTCGTTCGCGGACAACCTAGGACCGGTCTGGTCGAGAGATCCCAGGGGAGGCCTGCTTCCCGTGGTGTTCCAGGATAGCCGACTCAGCAGCGGCGGCCCATGTTGAGTACAGGCCAGAGACCGTCGAGCTAGCTTGAGGCTTAAGCCTGAAGGCTACGGGCCTCAGCATCAGAGAGGAGACGGAGGAGACAGGAAAAACACCTGGGGTAAATCCCACCTGGAGCCTGGCCCTTTCCCAACATTCGGGGGAAACGTTAAACTCGGCACCATCAGGTTGAGATACCTCCAGGGCTGGACACTGATTCTGGTTATTGTTGGAACCATTGACCGGTGAGATTTCGCTCGTAGCTGCTATGCTGCTCTGCTCACTACGACTGGGAGGCGGCTCCACCGAAGCCGAGAGCGACCCCGGAGGGCCCACAGGCCCACCGGCGGCCGACGGGGCCAGGGCAGGGGCCGACGGATTTTCCAGAGCAGTAGTTAGCATGCTATCCTTACGAACATTAAGCTCCTCGGCCCAAGGATCCTCCTTCTCCTCGGGCCAGGCAGCTAACTCATCATCATATCCTACTTCCAGGGGCCCTTTCGGGAGCTTTCTCACCGCTCGGGATCGGTCGAGAACTCCTAGACTCCTGGAAGCAGTTGCCAGAAGGGGCATCGTACAGCACAGACCGCTTTTCCTGAGACACGACCCGCGCGAGTGACCGTTGCATCCTGGCCAGGCTAGACTTAGAGCCTGGCGTGGGTCCTGCTTGGCCCTCGGGGCCCGTTGAAGCTTGCACGGGAGCTCCAACGCCCTGGTGCGCAGACACAGCCCCGAGCTCCGAAAGTGGACCACAAGCCCCAATTGAGGACGCCACGGCACCGCGCGAACAGCGTCGATATGCTTCACAACCGGCAATGCTGACTGCGAGCACAGAACATAA